GTCGCTCGTACCTCCATGATCCATGCGGCAGCTCCCCATTTTCTGTGGCCGTTTGCGGTCCAGTACGCTGCGCATCAGCTCAACCTCTGGCCCCGTGTCTCCTTGCCGGAGACCTCGCCCACACTGCGTTGGACGGGGGAGGTTGGCGATGCTTCGGTGTTCCGGGTCTGGGGTTCTCGTGCCTTTGTTCGCGATACGTCCGCGGACAAGCTCTCCCCCCGTGCTATCCCCTGCGTCTTCCTTGGCTTTGTCCCCGACGCGCCTGGCTGGCAGTTTTACTTCCCCACCTCGCGCCGTGTCTTCCCTTCTCAGGACGTCACGTTTGACGAGTCGGTTCCCTTTTACCGCCTCTTCCCCTAGCGCTCTGCTCCCCCCCCGCCCCCGCCGCTCTTCCTTGCTCCCGATCCCCCTCCGGAAGACCCCCTCCCGCCCCAGGGTCCTGCTCCCTCAGGTGTGTCTCAGGTAGACCCTCTCCCTGGTACTGCGCCTGTTCAGGTAGCTGTCGACTCAGGTGCTGCTCGAGGTGCTGCGTCTGGGGGTGTGGAGCCTGGGGGTGCGGAGTCTGAGGGTGCTAGAATGGGGGTGCTGAGCCTGGGGGTGTTGCGACTGGGGGTGCTGAGCCAAGGGGTGTTGCGTCTGGGGGTGGTGAGCCTGGGGGTGCTGAGCCTGAGGGTGTTGAGCCTGGGGGTGCTGAGCCTGAGGGTGTTGAGCTCGGGGGTGCTGCTTCGGCGGGTGCGGAGTCTGGAGGTGAGGAGACTCGGAGTGCTGCTTCATCTGGAGGTTCTGCTGGTGCTTCGCCGAGACAGTCTCCGCAGCGGTTGCGTGAGTGGTTCGTTCGGCGTGCGCGCCTTCGGAGTGGAGCTTCTGGAGCTGGAGGTGCTGGCGCTGCTCGAGCTGGAGGTACTGGAGTTGCTCCTGGAGCTGGTGTTCCTGGAGGTACTGCGGCTGCTGGTCCTGGAGGTGCTCGTACCCGGGGTACTGGAGCTGCCGGGACTGGTGGTGTTGAGGGCGCTGGAGCTGGAGACCCTACGGAGTCTGGAGCTGCTGGAGTTGGAGGCACTGGCGCTGGTGGCGCTGCAGCTGGAGGCGATGGAGCTACAGGGGTTGGAGCTGTTGACCCTGGAGCTGGAGGTACTGGAGACATTGTGCGGCCTCGACCGTACTTTGTTCCCCAGCTTCAGCAGGTTCTTGGTGTCCCGTCTTCTACTGGCCTTACTCCTCCCCTCCTGTGTCCACCGCCTGACCAGTCGCAGCTGCCGTTGCAGCCGGCCTCTCCACTGCCTGCTCCCTCTCCCTACACTGAGCAGTCTGGCGGTCTTACTGAGCGTCGTGAGCCTGCGTCTCGTCCTGCCTCGCCTGTTCGCACTGCTCGTCGCGTTCCTCGTTCGCGTCCTCCTCCTGTCCCCGGCACGCACGCTATGGCACTTTGTCCTTCCTCTGTTCCACTGCGTGTTCCTCTGCCTTCTCCTCCCGAGTCCTCTCTTCCTGCGGTCCCTGACCGTGAGTCTGACCGCGCTCGTGCTGCTAGTCCCACTATTGCTCGTCTCCTCGCCACACCTGTCACAGACCCTTCTTTTGAGTCTTCTGCTGCGTCTGCTCTCGTTGCTGAGTTGCTTGACTTTGCTGCTGCCTGCCGTCTCGACTACGCCTCTGCTCTTGTTGCTGAGTTCTCGTCGGCCAGTCCTCCGTTCGTCGGGGGTGAGTCTACTCTTGGCACGGACGTCCTTGAGGACAGGCAAGAGGACTTTGAGTGTCTTGCAGCTGCTGTACCTTGTTTCGCTTCCATGCCGCTTGCCCCTGAGGGAGACCCGGATGCTCCAGACATCCCGACCCCGCGCTCTTACGCAGAGGCGATTACGGGTCCTTACTCCTCTCAGTGGCAGGCAGCCATGGATGCCGAGATGGCATCCTGGAAGTCCACAGGCACCTACGTTGACGTGGTTCCCCCACCTGGGGCGAACATAGTCGATGGCATGTGGATCTTCAGGGTGAAGCGGCCGCCGGGTTCTCCGCCTGCCTTCAAGGCGCGTTACGTTGTTAGAGGCTTCAGTCAACGACAGGGAGTTGACTACTTCCAGACCTTCTCCCCCACCCCGAAGATGACTGCTCTTCGGGTGTTGCTGCACGTCGCTGCTCAGCGTGACTGCGAGTTGCACTCTCTGGACTTCAGCACAGCGTTCCTGCATGGCAGCCTGCACGAGGAGATCTGGTTGCGTCGCTCACCTGGTTTCACTGAGTCCTTCCCTGCAGGTACTCAGTGGAGTCTTCTACGGCCAGTCTACAGTCTCCACCAGGCGCCTCGCGAGTGGCACGACACGCTGAGGACTACACTTGCGACTCTTGGGTTTGCTCCTGCTACTGCTGACCCGTCGCTGTTTCTACGCATTGACACCTCGCTGCCACCGTTCTACGTTCTCGTCTACGTCGACGACCTCGTCTTTGCCACTGCTGACACTGAGGCACTGACCCTTGTGAAGTCGGAGCTGCAGAAGAGACACACCTGCACTGACCTGGGTGAACTGCGCAGCTGTCTTGGCTTGCAGATCACCCGGGACAAAGCACGGCGCACCATCACCCTGACTCCGTCACACATGGTGCACCAGGTCCTTCAGCGCTTCGGTTTCCAGTTCTCCTCGCCACAGCCCACTCCTCTGTCTACCAGCCACTCGCTCTTAGCTCCACCTTCAGACGAGTCTGTAGAGTCGAGTGGTCCATACCCAGAGCTTGTGGGTTGCCTCATGTACCTGATGACCTGAACTCGACCCGACCTCGCGTACCCTCTCAGCCTCCTGGCACGCTACGTGGCTCCCAGCAGGCACCGAAAGGTGCACTGGGATGCTGCGAAGAGGGTACTGCGTTACTTGTGCAGTACGTCAGGCATGGGGCTCGTGCTTGGAGGACGGGGTCCAGTTGTCCTCACCGGTCACGCAGATGCCTCCTGGGTTGACGACTCAGCTACGCAGCGGTCGTCACAGGGTTACACCTTCAGCCTTGGCTCCGGCTCAGTTTCTTGGCGGTCTACCCGCTCGTCTTCGGTTCTCAGCTCCAGTTGTGAGGCTGAGATCTATGTCGGGGCCATGGCTGCTCAGGAGCTACGCTGGCTCACCTACCTGCTGACCGACTTGGGAGAGCAGCCTCGTTCGCCTCCAGTTCTATACGTAGATAACAAGGCCATGATTGCTTTGTGTCAGGAGCACAGACTGGAGCACAGAACGAAGCACATCGCTCTGCGATACTTCCTTGCTCGAGAGTTGCAGCAGCGTGGCCAGCTTCGTCTTGCGTACGTGGCCAGTCGGGGCAACACTGCTGATGTCTTCACCAAGGCACTTCCGCCTGGTGATCATCAGCGCTTTGTTACTGTGTTAGGCCTTGTGCCTACTTTGCCTCACTTGCTTACTGCTTGACTCTGTTTGTACGGTGATATATATATATATATATATATATATATATGCGTGCTTGCACTTGCTAGGGTATGATAACTGTATTGTTTGTTCTCTTTATATAACTCTGCATGTGAACTGGCCTTGTGGCCCTTTGCTTGTGCTCGGACTGTGTGGTGACTTTGTGATCCACCCTGAGCTTGCTTTGCTTTGCTTGACTGGTCTTGTGACCAATTGTTCTCCCCCACTTTGCCTATGGGGGTGTGTTAGAACATTATAGCTTATACATTTGTGTAGGCTGTAGTGGGGTAGCCCATAAGGGGTACAACCCAATTAGGGTTAGTACTTGTACCCAACTGTTTGCTAGTTCATTCATTCTCGTTTGTAACATCAACAGCTGTCTACCGTGGTACCCTCCTTATTCGGCCAGGTGTGGTCGATTGCGTGAACCGGCGCAATCACTCGGTGAGGGTCGGTTGGGTCGGGCGAGCGACGTGACCTGTCAGTAGAGGGCCCGTCTGCTACTGACTCCTAGCGTTTCCCTGCTGCTTGGTCTGTTTTTGCTGCTCAGCTTCCCCCTTTCCCTTAGCATTTTCCGGGCATTCGCTTTTGCGGTGTCCCGGTCGATTTCACGCGAAGCAGCGCCCTTTAAACGGTGCGGCAGCGGCATTCGCGGCGACGGCACGTATCGTAGCGCCCTCGTTCATCTCATGAGATCGTTGTCCCCAGTTGTTGCTACTCCCGTAGGACCCCGGTCTCGGTCGGCGGAAGAGATCGAGTTTCTCCGCCATAGCGAGAATCTCCTGAAAATCGGTGACGCCGCGGAGCTGGATTTCTTGAGCAATGTCGTGTTTCAGTCCGCCGATGTAGCGGTCGATGCGCTCAGATTCATACATGTAGCCCACCTGCTCACAGAGCGCCCACTTTTCTCCACCAAATCTAACAGTTCGACGGCATCTGGAAGCGGGGACGAAACTTCGTTCCCAGGCAAAATGCCATCCCCTAGCCATGCCATCGTCATGCCGCGTTTTTCAAAGCACAGCGGTGGCACAGCCGACGCATTGGTGTTCAGAGGGTAACCCTTGAACAAGCCTGCAGTTTAACAAAGGGGGGTTCGTATACCCCCCATTTTTCCCTCCCAAACACACCTTCGAAATGCCCCCCGCGCATAACTTGAGTTGTGTCTGGGCATGAGCACGTGGTAGCGGGGGTTGTGTTTGAGCGGGGTGTGTTTTATTTGCGTTTTTTACCCACGTTGAGCAATTTTTGGTCAGCGGGCAGCACAAGGGTCAGGGATGAGCAAATTTCGCGCCATTGGGGGGAAGGTGGGGATGAACCTTCCCGATGCGGTTGAGAAATTTCGCCTTTCGGGCGCGCGTAGTTTCTCGGGCGGCATTTCGCCCAAACCTCGGAGGAGGGTTCCGCCCCCGTTTCCATATGCGGTCGCGATGCTGATGCCATCGTTTCCTGTTGAAGAAACGATTTGCTGGCGAACAGCACCCTGGAATCAGTCGTGTTTCGTGTCAAAATATACGTCGTGTTCTGTCAGTCATCTTGAATTATGTAAGCGCATTCAGGGCCTCACGCCAGCTGCGGCCTCAACGGCTTCACCGATCACCAATGGCAATTCGATTGCAGTCTTTCCGGCTTCCGTCCTCCTTGCTTCTAGCTATCTCAGCATCCGCGGCTACAGCCACCGCTCTCACAACCCACCAATTCAGTCACCCCTCTCCCACCTCTGCTGATCGTCATTCCACCTTCGTCAGCCATTCGAACGAGCAGTGCAATGGTCGTCGCAGGCTCGTGCTGCCGTCGCATCTGGCTCGCCCACACTCCACGGACGACACGGAGCTGCCGTGCGGCGACGCCTGGCAGCACAACTACACCGCCTTCCACTCCTCCGCCCGCGCTGCGGCGCGCGATCCATCCGCGCGGGCGCAGGAGAAGGCGGAGCTGCGGTACCTGACGTTCACGTGCACGCCGGGGCTGTGCGGCGGGATCGGCGACCTGCTCATCGGGCTCGTGTCGTCGTTCCTGCTGTGCGTGCTGCAGGACCGAATCCTCATCGTCGACTATCCCTGGATGCTCCACGCCTTCGAGCCCAATCACATCGACTGGCGCCTCGGCGACGACGTCCCCATGGACCCCGCGCGCCCATTCCCGCCGGGCCCAAGAGACAGGCGCAGGCGCGGGCAGGCGGACCCGAACGAGGTGCAGGAGGGGGAGGTGCTCCGCGTGAATCTGCACAACCGCGACCTGCCGAGCAACGTGACGGATTTCTTTGAGCGCATGCGCGCCGCGAGGAACATACGGCTCATGTGGAACCGCGGGCTGCTGGTGCGGCTGTACGAGGAGGACGGGCCCTGGTGGCACGAGCTGCACAGACGAGGACTCAGACTGCCGTCCGCATTTGGGTGCATTCTGCGATACCTTATCATGTAGGTGCCATGCCACCCCACTTAGCGTCGCATGCCACGTGGTTGCTTCGCATCGCACAGTGTGTGCACATGTCATGGCTTGCTGATGAATGTCGGCACACATGCTCACCTGCCTGACCACAAAATTGTCCACCTTGCACTGCAGCAGCGTCTCAATGTGCGTCCACCACATTTCAGCCTTGCACCTCTATCCTGGCCCCTCGCCCACCCCCATGCATGGAATCGTCATGGTGGTGGTGGCAGGCCGACGCCAGGGGTGCGGCACATGGTGCGAGAGGGCATCGCGCGGCTGACATACCCGGGCACGGCGTCCATCTGCATCCACGTGCGCACCAGCGACATCTCCACGTGGGAGCAGCCCAAGGTGGGCGAGAAGGTGAAGCCGCGCAAGGAGAACGTCAAGCGCCTGCTCAAGGGCTCTCAGCGCCTCTTTGCATGCGCTCAGGTGGGAGGTCTAGGCAGTCCTCATGCTCTTCTGCTGCCGTGCTTGGCATCATCTATTTGTGACTGAGGATTGTATGTGGTGGCCTTGCAGAAGCTGGAGGACTACTGGTATTCGAGTGACGCCCCAGGCATGGCAGTCAAGTGGGTGCTCATGAGCTCGTCGCTTGGACTCAAGCAGGCTGCACAGAGGAAATATGGCAGCAAGGTACGGTAACATGGAAGGCTCATGGAGAGGTGCAGGTAGACTTTGCTACTATGGCACCTCATGCCCCTTTTCTTCGCTTGACCCCCGCCACCTGGGTCCTCATGCAGGTCATGACAACCGATATACAGCCCCTTCACATTGAGCTTCAAGGCTTCTCAGATGAACAAAGGGCGGAAGCCTTTCAATCCACCGTGGCAGAATGGTTGCTATTCACACACTGCAACCACTTTATCTTCACGGAGTCAGGCTTTTCCAAGACTGCTGCATTGTACTCGTTGAGAAGACTATCAGCCCACATGATGGCAAGATGGGCTGATTCATGGAGGGACCACTCGTGGAAAGATAAATGTGATCCTGAGGAGCCCACCAAGATTACGGTGCTCGGGAATACAACCCGTTGGAGTGGGATTTAGGCTGTGCATATATTAGTTTGATAAGATTGCATTGTTATTTGAAATGATGATCTCTGTACACTATACATTATCGACATCGCGATCTCTCACTGCAGGCTTCATGTTTGGTCCCACGACACCACCGTGCAATGCGATGGGACACGTCAAACTGCCCACCATCCCAACCAACAGATTGTGTTTGTGCCCCTTGGGCTTCAGCAAATGATATTTTCTATACATTACGCAGCTGCACAGCAATTCGGCTATGAAAAATGGATTAGAGTTCGAGCGAGCGATGAATTTACGGCGGTGTTCGCCAGCACACGAAATTTTGAAAGAAAAATGACGGTGTCAGAATGGCAACCGCATCAGGAACCGGGGCCGGAACCCACCGAATAGGTTTGGGCGTAATGGCACGCGCGAAACTTCGGGTCCGGAAACGGGAAATGACGCAACCGCATTTGGAACCTCCATCCCCACCTTCCCCCCTACTGGCATGAAATGTTTGCGTCACTGACCACTGCCTGACCGGGGGCCAAAAACTACTGGACTAGGGTTAAAAACGCAAAGGAAAACTAACCCATCGAGTGCCATTGCGTGAGCACATCGAAGGTGTATTCGGGAGGGGAAAAATGGGGGATGACGAACCCCACCTTTGTCAATCATTTGGCTCAATCAAAGGTTCCCCTCTGAACGGCAATGCCATCTGTATGCCATCGCTGTCCTCCGTGAAAGGGGGAATGGCGATGGAATAGCATGGTGATGGATATTTGCCCGGGGACGAAATTGCGTCCCCATTTCCATATGCCGTCATGGCGTTCCAAATGGAGAAAGTTTGGGGGCGTTCACCAGGCCCTCAATTTTGTATTTGGTTCGGACGGAAGAGAGGCTCGGTAGCATTTTTACGGGCTGACCAGGCTGACGGAGCTTAACGAACCCTAACTGACGGGATCAGGAAGGCGTGACTGACCTTCCTGATCCCATTGTTTTTACTGTCGAAGGTGATGGCGAACACCGCCGTCGGTCTTCTTGAAAGAATCCGTGATGTGGCTCCGCACGATCCCCCTGCAGGGCACCCCATGCTGTGACCCGTCCTCCGCCCTGCCACCTCACCCTCCTGGAAGCAGAGTTGGCTGGCACCGCGCATGTCCTTCCCCCCTTCCCCGCGACCGCGGGAGAGGTGGCAGGCACGCGCAGGACCAACGCAATCACGGGAGCAGCAGGGGTAATATCTAGGTTGACTGGCCTCCACTGATGCTAGTAGCGTGTGTTCCGAAGAACCTAATTTAACCTTTGACTGCCTCCTGTGAGGCCAGCCGCCATGGCCGATGTGAGTTCAGACAGATTTTAAGTATTTCAATTGACCGCATGTTAGTGTAACGTGGCTATCGCGGCAGGCATTTGTACCGTGTTCTCACTCTGGCTCACGCAGCGCTGGTTTGTTTCTGCTGTGTGTGCATTTGTTGTTGTGGGTCAACGCCGCTGGTCAGGCTAAGAAACGGTCGCCATCATTGCGCGTGCTCGCCACACCAAGTCAAGGTACGCTGCCGGCATTACTGCTGTCCTTGCTGTCCAGGGCATTTCGTGTTTCCTAAAAGGTTTAATAGCGAGCGTTTGCGAATCGGTTTCTATTGTGCTCCTGTCGGTTTTTACCCTTTTTTGCGGTGTGCAGACCGGTTCACCGATCTGTACGACCTCGGGCAGAAGCTGGGGTCGGGGCAGTTTGGGACGACGTACGTGTGTCGCGAGCGCTCGACGGGGAACAAGTACGCGTGCAAGTCGATCCCCAAGAGCAAGCTGCTCACGGAGAATGACGTCGAGGACGTGCGACGCGAGGTCGCCATCCTCTACCACGTGCAGGTGCGCGCTGCCTCCGCTGCGCCACGTGCAGGCGCGAACTCAAATAGTTGTGGCACGCAGCGCCGGATGCATATCTGCGCAGTCGGCATTTCTGCGCTGCTGGCATTTCTGCGCTGTCGGCAATGCTGCGCTGTCCGCAATGCTGCGCTGTCCGCAATGCTGCGCTGTCCGCAATGCTGCGCTGTCCGCAATGCTGCGCTGTCCGCAATGCTGCGCTGTCTTCATTGCTGCGCTGTCGGCATTGCTGCGAGAGCGCTTGTGCACAGCCATGTCGCATTCGCATCCCCGCGGTTGCCCGCATGCCATCCACTGCTGACTGCGTTGCATCCTCGCCGTGGGCTGACCGGTGTGCGCGCGCGCCGAGCGTGCGTGGGCGAGTGCAGGGGCAAGCGAACATCGTGAACATGAAGGGCGCGTACGAGGATCGCGACTACGTGCACATCGTGATGGAGCTGTGCACGGGCGGCGAGCTCTACGACACCATCATCGAACGCATCGAGGCGCGCGGCGTCCCCTACTCGTAAGTCCGCCCCGAACCCCTCGCCCTTCACCTGCTCCCCAATCCCCCTCGCACGCCTCGATTCAAATGCTCGTCTCCGCGCTTGTTCCCCGTTTCTCCTCTCCTTCCACTCTCCATTCGTCCCCCTCCTTTCCTCCCTCAACCCGCATTCCCCTCCCCACTTCCCCCCACCCCCTTTCCCAACCTGTGCCCCCCCAACTCCCCCAACCCCTCCGCCCATCGCCTGTGGCAGCGAGCACGACGCGGCGGAGATGGCGCGCGTGATAGTGCGCGTGGTGGAGCGGTGCCACGCGCTGGGCATCGTGCACCGCGACCTCAAGCCAGAGAACTTTCTGCTCTCGTCGCGCGACCCCGACACGGCGGAGCTCAAGGCGACGGACTTCGGGCTGTCGTGCTTCTACAAGGGCGAGGGCATGGCGCGCCACTGCGGGTCGCCCATGTACATGGCGCCCGAGGTCGTGCGCTGGCGCTCCGCCACGCAGCTCATGGTGAAGCGCCCCGCCAAGTACGGCCCCGAGGTGGACATCTGGAGCGCGGGGGTCATCATCTACGCGCTGCTCTGCGGCTTCCCGCCCTTCTACCACAGTACGTGCCCTTCTACCACAGTACGTGCCCTTCTACCACAGTACGTGCCCTTGCATCGCTGTGAGCGGCGTTGAACCGTAGTGAGATGGCTGGCCAGTGAGGTTGATGACCTGACTTGTGTAATCAACTGCTGCTGTTCCTCCCTCCGCCTCTCCTCCTCGCCTCTCTGCCCACCGCTTCCCAACCTCCCCCGCACCAACCGCCCCCGCACCCCCCCTCTCCTCTCCCCTTCCCCTCCCCCCCATTCCTGCCCCGCCAACCCCCCTGCCCCGCCGTGGTGCGCGCAGGCAGCCATTCGACGAAGGAGATATTCAAGGCGGTGCTGCGCGCGAACCCGTCCTTCTCCATCCCGCCGTGGCCGTCCATCTCCGACCACGCCAAGGACCTCCTGCGCCAAATGCTGCACCCCGACCCCGCCAAGCGCCCCTCCGCGCACGAAGTGCTCTGTCAGTCCCGCTCCCCGCATGCTCCGCCTGCCCTTCCGCCATTCCTTCCCCCCCGTTCTTCCCTCCCGTTCCCCCCCCCGTGTCCCATGCATGCCCTATCATGAAACCCCTTTCCCCCCCTTCCCCCCCCTTCATCAGCAGCTCCCCATCCCCAGCCCACTTCACCCCCTTTCTCCCCCCACCTCCTGCCCCCATGCGTGGCTGCATGGCGCAGGCCACCCGTGGCTGGCAGAGGCGGGCGTGGCGCAGACGGAGCCGCTGCCGCCCGTGGTGCTGACGCGGCTGAAGCAATTCACATCGATGGTGAAGATGAAGCGCATGGCCATGAAGGTATGGTTAAGATGAAGCGCATGGCCATGAAGGTATGGTGAAGATGAAGCGCATGGCCATGAAGGTATGGTGAAGATGAAGCGCATTGCCATGAAGGTATGGTGAAGATGGAGCGCATGGCCATGAAGGTATGCCTTTTGATGAACGAGGGGGAGCGGGGAACATTCACTCAACGCGCCGAAGCAAGCAAGAGCTGTGCACAACGTGAATGCAACGAGAGGGAACGAAATGTAGGGAAATGTGTGGGGCAGGCAGTTTTGATGTTGGTGCCACACCACTGGCGAGCATGAAACATGAGATGCCATGCGAGTCACATTCTTGCACCCTCCATGCCTACGTCCCACCTTGCTCTGCAGCACCTTACCCCACCTCCACCTCTTCCCCTTGCCGTCCACTCCCCTCTACCCTCCACAACCCATGCATCACCCCCACCCCCAACCCCACCGCACCTCCGTCCGCGCATGGCGGGGCGCGGCGGTGAGCAGGTGATAGCGGAGGGGCTGAAGGAGGAGGAGATCCGCGGGCTGCGGGAGCTGTTTGAGGCGATGGACACGGACAGCAGCGGCACCATCACCATGACTGAGCTGCGTGACGGGCTCAAGAAGTACGGCGCCAACCTCAGCGACGCTGAGATCAGCAGAATCATGGAGGAGGTGCGATGCATGATGGCGGGGGTGCGATGCATGATGGCGGGGGTGCGATGAGCGGAATTGTGGAGAGTGTAAGAGGACAATCAAGCAGGAGGTGAGGCGAGGTGAAGCATGGAGAACGGGGGAGTGCAGTGGCGCGTGGATGGAGAGTGAAGGGGGGCGGGGCATGGGCAGGGCCCAGGTGGGGCATGGCAGTGTGGTGCTTAGCAGACTGCATTGCTCATGCTTTTGTGTCATTCTGTTGTGCTGGCATGCTGGGTGCATGGTGGCCATGTGATGGCATGGTGTGCATGAAATGGCATGTGATGGCATGGTCAACATGTGACTTGTATTCCATGGCATATGACGGCATGCTGTAATGGATGGCATGGTGGGCATATGATGGCATGGCATGTGATGGCATGGCATGCCCCTTGCAGACGGACATAGACCAGAGTGGGGAGATTGAGTACGGGGAGTTCCTGGCGGCGACGCTGAATCTGAGCAAGATAGACAAGCAGGAGAATCTGCTCAAGGCGTTTGCCTTCTTTGACACGGACGGCAGCGGCACCATCACACTGGACGAGCTGCAGAAGGCGTGCGAGCAGCTCAAGATGTCCACCGGCGAGGTCGAGGCCATGATGCGCGAGGTCGACGAAAACAAGGTCCGTGCCCGCTGCTGGGAGGGGGAGGAGGGAGCCAAAGGGGGGGTGTGGAGTGGGGGGGGGGGGGGGGGGTGTGTGGGAGGGGTGTTGGGGGCAGGGTGGAAGGCATTGTAGGGATTATCAGTTTTGCAGTTTGATCGTATATGTTTTCAATCCCAAATGCGTATTGCTTTACCAATTATCCAAATTCAATGAGTGCAGGATGGGACGATTGACTATCAGGAGTTTGTGGCGATGATGAGGAAGACACAGACAGGGGGCCTCACACGCCGCGACATCATGGATGGCAACTACGGCGTCACAGATAAAGAGTTCGGAAGCGAATCTTTCCGTTTCTTGCTCAGTTGATAGCTTTGCAGACACCTGCCATTCCCTAAGCTCGGGTTCAACATAATCTAGGAATTGAGTCAGCTATTAGTTCTTGTAACTTTACTTGAATTGCCCTCAGAGCTATCCTGTGTGCACAAATGTTTAACCCGCAATTTGCAACCTCGTTATAGCGCATCGCGTTTCGATGAAATGTACATATCGAATTCCTGTATTGTTGCCGAGGTGCCACATTACTCGTGGCCACGTCGGCTAATACCGACGACGTGGCAGTCCCTTGGAATTAGCCCCAAGCGCCTGGTTCCTGGGAATTGTGGGCCTGAATTCGAATTGCAGCGCCTGGGAAGATGCGCGCTCCTAGATTTCCCCGTCCTCCTCGCCTTCCCCCTCCCGGCGCTCGCTCCCGCCTTGCGCCCTCGGCTCCGCCAACACAGGTGTGCCCCGCACTGCGGCCACCTCTCGACCACAATTCCGAAAAACCGAACCCCTCCTCCCACTGCGTGTCAGCAGCAGCCGCAGAATATTCCTCTCAGAATTGAGTTGAATTGATCATGACAGGCGCAGCGAGTTGAGGTGAGGCATGGCGCACAGGCAGGAATAGGCTTGGAAACCGGACCACCAGGGCACTCAGAGCGGCCGTCTCCATCGCGCCACCGTCGCTGCATCGCGCCATTGCAAGCCATGGCTGCTCTGCACCCGAGCGCCGTCGTCCAGCCAAGTACGTTTCGTGTCGTGCTTCTGCCCAATACCCGTCGCTTGCGCGCAATTCTCTTTCAAAATCGGTTCAATCATGTCCCAGATTCATGAATCTCGCGTGAGCGTTGAGTCACCGACATCTATGGCGTTGTGCGGCTGTAATGCGTCCCGCTCCCCCCTCTCTCCCCGCCATTGTCTCAGCGCGTCTCGCTATCGGCCACTCATCCCACCGCACCTCCGCGCGTCGCGTCGAATGCAATCCCGCGTTCGCGCCATGCGCCAGCCACGCGCCATTCTCCGTCGTTGCGCCATCAGCCGTCAGGACCCGCCCGCTCCGCGTCAATCAGAACAGTCGACGACCACATTCGAGACGGCTGATCGTTCGTGCGACAGAAAGCGACGAGGGCGCAATTGCACGCCGGGTGGAGGAAACGCAAGGCGGGGAGGCGAGCAGCAGGGGCGCTGGTGATGGCGAAAGGGGGGAAACCGCGGGTGATAGTGGCGGAAATGGTGCTCTTTCGGCGGGGACGGGTGTGAATTCCGCGGATGCGCTGGTCGCCGCGGATAGTGCGCGAGGCGAGTCAGCATCGTCGGTATCGGGGGGAGAGGCAGCGGCGTCGTCGTCCCCCGGGTGGTGGACCGGCGTGTGGGGCGCGGGGGGCTGGCAGAAGCGGTGGAGCATTGTGGTGCTCTGCTTCTTCGCCTTCCTGCTCTGTAACATGGACCGCGTGAGTCAATGGCCGGGGGGGAAGAGGGGAGAGGTGGGGTGGGGAATGCAACATGGACCGCGTTTCATGAGTGGGGAGGCGAGGGGGGTGCAACATGGACCGCGTGAGTCACGGGGAAGGGCGGGAATGCAACATGCACTGCGCGAATCATGGGGTAAGGGGAGAGCAGCATGCTGGGCAGGTCGTTGCTCACGATGGATGAGGCCGTGCTGGCCTAGTGGCCGTGCTGGCCTAGCGGCCGTGCTGGCCTAGTGGCCATGCTGGCCTAGTGGCCGTGCTGGCCTAGTGGCCGTGCCGCCATGCGCGCATGCCCGTGCTGCTGCGCCTCACGTACTGCTCGTGCACATAACCCCCCCCCCTCCCCCCCCCCCCCCCATGCGCGCGGGAACTTGCTGTGCAAACTGCCCCCCCCTTCTGAGACCCTCATTCCCCCTCCCTGGTACGGTGTGGCAGGTGAACATGAGCATAGCGGTGCTGCCCATGGCGGAGCAGTTCCAGTGGACGCCCGCCACCGTGGGACTCGTGCAGTCCTCCTTCTTCTGGGGCTACCTCCTCACTCAGGTAGGTGCCTCCTCACTCAGGTGCTTCTCCTTCCTCCTCACACAGGTACCTCACTCTCGTATGCACGCTGCACTCACCACTCACACACTGCTGTGCTTATCTTAACACTTGTTTTGCTCGACCATTTGCCACTATGCCGTGTCACCTCTTTCTACGCTGTTCCTCCCCTCCCCGCTCCCCTCATCTTTCACCCCCCTCCCTTCTCTTTCACCCCCCTCCCTTCTCTTTCACCGCCCTCCCTTCTCTTTCACCCCCCTCCCTTCTCTTTCACCCCCCTCCCTTCTCTTTCACCCCCCTCCCTTCTCTTTCACCCCCCTCCCTTCTCTTTCACCCCCCTCCCTTCTCTTTCACCCCCCTCCCTTCTCTTTCACCCCCCTCCCTTCTCTCTCACCCCCCTCCCTTCTCTTTCACCCCCCTCCCTTCTCTCTCACCCCCCTCCCTTCTCTTTCACCCCCCTCCCTTCTCTCTAAACCCCCTGCCTCCCCACCCGCGCGCACGCCCTTCCACCTCGAGCATGGCAGGTGGCGGGGGGAGTGTGGGCGGACACGATAGGGGGAAAGCAGGTGCTGGGCTTCGGAGTGGTGTGGTGGTCGCTCGCCACCGTGCTCACACCCTTCGCCGCCTCCCTCGGCCTGCCCGCGCTGCTCTTTGCACGTGCCTGCATGGGCGTCGGGGAGGTCAGCCCACCCTCCCTCCCTTTCCCCCCCTCCTCGCTGCCCACCCTCCCTTCCCCTCGCCTCTGCCGCTGCTCACTCCAATGCTCACTCCAATGCTCACTCCAATGCCCCGCCCTGCTTCCCTCTGCCCACCTGCTTGTCTCTCACCCTCCACGTCTGCCCGCTTGTTTGGCCTCGCTTCTATCACCCTCCCCCCCTGTCTCAAACGTCCCCCTCTCCCTCCCCCACCCCCCCCTTGGCCTTTCCCCCCATCGCTTCCCCCACCGCCCCCCAGGGAGTGGCGATGCCAGCGATGAACAATCTGCTGTCCAAGTGGGTGCCCGTGGGCGAGCGCAGCCGCTCGCTAGCTCTGGTCTACAGCGGCATGTACCTGGGCAGCGTGGCGGGGCTGTCGCTGTCGCCCGCCATCATCCACGCCTTTGCCTGGCCCTCCGTCTTCTTCTCCTTTGGCTCCCTCGGCCTCGTCTGGTTCGCCTTCTGGCAGACCAAGGTGCGCCACGTGCTGCATGCCCTGCGCCATGCACTGTACAAATCGCGGTACAAAAACGAACAAACAAACAAATAATCAACCAAACAAGACCCAAAATAACAAATCAAACAACCATAGCCCTTCGCTGCCCCCTCCACTGCGGGCTAACCACCTCCTCCCCCTCCCACTTTCAGGCGTTCAGCTCGCCTGCGGAGGACCCCAGTGTGTCGGCGGCAGAGAGGGCGCTCATAGCAGCCGGGGGCGCACAGAAGGGGCAGGGGGCGGGCAAGGCGCAGGGGGGAGAGGGAGGGCCGCACCTGGAGGGCAGTGAGCCGCTGCGGCTGTCGACGATCCCATGGCGGCTGCTGCTGAGCAAGGCGCCTGTGTGGGCCATCATCATCTGCCACTTCTGCCACAACTGGGGCGTCTTCATCCTCCTCACCTGGATGCCCACCTACTACCATGATGTGAGGCATACGCATGCCCATCCACTACCACGTTGTGAGTTGTCGCACAGCACTCCCACCCACCCACGAACCTGTCACCCCGCCTACCAGCCCTTCTAATCCTTGCGTGTCACTATCCCCACTGCCTGGCATGCATGCGGCACACGGGGGCACACGGGGGCACACGGGGGTGCATGGGTGTGCGTGTGGGCATGGCAGGTGTTGGGGTTCAACCTGACGGAGTCGGGGCTGTTTGCAGTGCTGCCGTGGCTCACCATGGCCATCGCCTCCAACGTCGGTGGATGGATCGCCGACACCCTCATTGCCCGCGGCCTCTCTGTCACCCTCGTGCGCAAGGTGGGCCTCTGCCCCCCTCACTTGCTCACTCCCCGCTTTCTCCCTGCTTCATCGCGTCTCAGGCTCCACCAATCCCTTGCCCACATGCTGCTTCACTAAACCTGCTCCTCTCCTGTCCTTATTACCGCATCTGCTGGCTGCTGCCCTACCCCCCGCCCTACCCCCCGCCCTACCCCCCGCCGCGCCCTTGTTACCACAGGTGATGCAGAGCATTGGCTTCCTGGGTCCGGCTATCTGCCTCTCACTGCTCTCCACTGTCAAGTCACCCGTTGCTGCCATCGCCCTGCTCATGGTCTCACAGGTACCACCCACCCCTCCACCCCCACACACACCTCTACCTGCCACTGCTTGTCGCTGTAGCTCAGCCTCTTCCTCTTCTTGCATCTGTGCATGCGCTTAGTCCCTGATTCATCCATGCCCCATGCCCCATGTCCCATGCACCTGCCCCCCACAGGGCACGGACGCCTTTTCCCAGTCGGGGCTCTACTCCAACCATCAGGACATCGGCCCGCGCTACGCGGTCAGTGCCTCAGTGCCTCCACTGCTACGCGTTCGCTGTCTGCCTCTGTGCCGCTCTTACACCTGCCATTCTCACTTCCCTCCTCCCTCACCCACCCCATTCTTCCCCTCTTTCTGCGCCCCCATTACTTGCCTCACCCATGCCTGTCTCTCATCCTTGCCTGCTCGCCGTGCCTCAGGGCATTCTGCTGGGTCTGTCCAACAGCGCTGGCGTGCTGGCAGGGGTCTTCGGCACCTACGTCACGGGGCAGATCCTGCAGAACGGTACGTCACGGACTCCAAGTGATCCCTTAAACAGCCTTGGGAGTTGCAAGCCGCGGCCGCACTGCCTCCCCCATACAGCCATCTTAAGAGCACCACCTTCCCCTCCCCTCTCACCCACCTCCTCTTGTGTGCTGTGTGGTGGCAGGGTCATGGGACGAGGTGTTCACGGTGGCGGTGGGGCTGTACCTAGTGGGCACCGTTGTGTGGAACGTCTTTGCCACCGGGGAGCGGGTCTTTGACTGACCTGCTGCCTACCTCCTCACCTTCTGGGCTTGCTTGTGTGCAAGCTTGGGGTAGGCTGCAATGTAAATCACATTGTTTCAGAGCTACAACAATTCATTGGATCCCTCTGAAGAATGTTCTACCGCAGTTCTACAATTCCAGGCCATAGAATTAAAATACGGTACATCCGGTTGGTTAAAACATATAAAGCGTGCATAGCTCACAGCTGGACGAGGCACCAGAAGACTTGACAAACTTACCGGTAATTTGTCACAGTATCTTTATGTGTACTTGCAATTTGAGCAATTCACCAAATGCAGCCACAAATTGGGATAGTCACAAGTAGTGATTCCAGGTGCAGGTGGACATCAATGTTATGAGAGCACATGCAGCAACTCAGAGCACCAGGGATGCCACAGTCACAACAGCAGCCATGAGAACGGTGGCAGAAGTCAGACAGTATTGACCTGCCACACACAGCAAGCATCAGAAACAGTGAGAGAGCGAATATAAGAGAGTGTGCCACGTCAGACGCCACATGCAGAGACAGCATCCTCCCAGTCCCAGCCCCCCCTCTCACCTGAACCCGCGCTGCCAGGAGTGTCGTTGCTCCCCGGCACTCGCACGGGGGCGGGAGGAGCCGTTGTGCCGTCCTCGCTGCCAGGAGGCGGAGGGCTGTTGTCGCTGCCAGGAGGAGCAGCACTCGGAGTCGGTGCCGAGCTGATCATTGGTTCCGAGGCAGGTGCAGAGGCTGGGGCCGACCCTGGCGCGGCAGCAGGTTCGGATGCTGGCGCTGGGGCAGGAGCGGGACCAGAGGGGCTGGGGGCAGCGGCAGGGACAGGAGCAGGAGCCGAGGCGGAGGAGGGGGCAGGGGTGGGGGCGACGGAAGGCGCTGAAGCTGGGGAGACCGAGGAACTGGGCGCAGCAGAGGGAGTCGGCGCGAGTGTGGGCGCGGACGCAGGGGCAGTGGCGGTGGGTGCCGGAGCTGGGGAAGGGACTGGCGCGGACGGCTGTTGCGATAAACAAGGTGGCGCGCCCAGAGCGAGAAGGAGCACAAGGAAGACGGCGGAGAGTGCGGAACCCATCTCGGCTCAGTGGGGCGACGAGGAGGTGAGACTCAGGAGTTGCGCTGAGTATGAATACCGCTGAAAGATGGCGTGGGAAGGCACGGATTTAAGCCACGCCGTTAACCCTTGTCTAGGTCGCGCCGATCCCTTTGGCCCGGTAGCACCACGCTCACCGTCAACCTCATTTTCGCGACAAGTCACACTACGGCGGCGGTCACATCTTCTGATGCTGACTGCGGAGGCCGAATCGCCCCCGTATGACTCGTCGACCATTTCAAGCGACGTCGCAACGATTTGAAAGTGCAGGACAGGAGAACCGCAGAACAAATGCATGCCGTCAGCTAGGCGTGTAGCGTGCCTTGAGTCAAAAGAAGTTTATGACGTGATGTGGGAAGAAATGCATGCCGTCACGACTGACGGGAGAATCGAGGAGCAGAGGGTGGTACTGGAGCAGAGGGTGGTACTGGAGCAGAGGGTGGTACTGGAGCAGAGGGTGGTACTGGAGCAGAGGGTGGTACTGGAGCAGAGGGTGGTACTGGAGCAGAGGGTGGTACTGGAGCAGAGGGTGGTACTGGAGCAGAGGGTGGTACTGGAGCAGAGGGTGGTACTGGAGCAGAGGGTGGTACTGGAGCAGAGGGTGGTACTGGAGCAGAGGGTGGTACTGGAGCAAGGGTGGTACTGGACTGGAGCAGAGGGTGGTACTGGAGCAGAGGGTGGTACTGGAGCAGAGGGTGGTACTGGAGCAGAGGGTGGTACTGGAGCAGAGGGTGGTACTGGAGCAGAGGGTGGTACTGGAGCAGAGGGTGGTACTGGAGCAGAGGGTGGTACTGGAGCAGAGGGTGGTACTGGAGCAGAGGGTGGTACTGGAGCAGAGGGTGGTACTGGAGCAGAGGGTGGTACTGGAGCAGAGGGTGGTACTGGAGCAGAGGGTGGTACTGGAGCAGAGGGTGGTACTGGAGCAGAGGGTGGTACTGGAGCAGAGGGTGGTACTGGAGCAGAGGGTGGTACTGGAGCAGAGGGTGGTACTGGAGCAGAGGGTGGTACTGGAGCAGAGGGTGGTACTGGAGCAGAGGGTGGTACTGGAGCAGAGGGTGGTACTGGAGCAGAGGGTGGTACTGGAGCAGAGGGTGGTACTGGAGCAGAGGGTGGTACTGGAGCAGAGGGTGGTACTGGAGCAGAGGGTGGTACTGGAGCAGAGGGTGGTACTGGAGCAGAGGGTGGTACTGGAGCAGAGGGTGGTACTGGAGCAGAGGGTGGTACTGGAGCAGAGGGTGGTACTGGAGCAGAGGGTGGTACTGGAGCAGAGGGTGGTACTGGAGCAGAGGGTGGTACTGGAGCAGAGGGTGGTACTGGAGCAGAGGGTGGTACTGGAGCAGAGGGTGGTACTGGAGCAGAGGGTGGTACTGGAGCAGAGGGTGGTACTGGAGCAGAGGGTGGTACTGGAGCAGAGGGTGGTACTGGAGCAGAGGGTGGTACTGGAGCAGAGGGTGGTACTGGAGCAGAGGGTGGTACTGGAGCAGAGGGTGGTACTGGAGCAGAGGGTGGTACTGGAGCAGAGGGTGGTACTGGAGCAGAGGGTGGTACTGGAGCAGAGGGTGGTACTGGAGCAGAGGGTGGTACTGGAGCAGAGGGTGGTACTGGAGCAGAGGGTGGTACTGGAGCAGAGGGTGGTACTGGAGCAGAGGGTGGTACTGGAGCAGAGGGTGGTACTGGAGCAGAGGGTGGTACTGGAGCAGAGGGTGGTACTGGAGCAGAGGGTGGTACTGGAGCAGAGGGTGGTACTGGAGCAGAGGGTGGTACTGGAGCAGAGGGTGGTACTGGAGCAGAGGGTGGTACTGGAGCAGAGGGTGGTACTGGAGCAGAGGGTGGTACTGGAGCAGAGGGTGGTACTGGAGCAGAGGGTGGTACTGGAGCAGAGGGTGGTACTGGAGCAGAGGGTGGTACTGGAGCAGAGGGTGGTACTGGAGCAGAGGGTGGTACTGGAGCAGAGGGTGGTACTGGAGCAGAGGGTGGTACTGGAGCAGAGGGTGGTACTGGAGCAGAGGGTGGTACTGGAGCAGAGGGTGGTACTGGAGCAGAGGGTGGTACTGGAGCAGAGGGTGGTACTGGAGCAGAGGGTGGTACTGGAGCAGAGGGTGGTACTGGAGCAGAGGGTGGTACTGGAGCAGAGGGTGGTACTGGAGCAGAGGGTGGTACTGGAGCAGAGGGTGGTACTGGAGCAGAGGGTGGTACTGGAGCAGAGGGTGGTACTGGAGCAGAGGGTGGTACTGGAGCAGAGGGTGGTACTGGAGCAGAGGGTGGTACTGGAGCAGAGGGTGGTACTGGAGCAGAGGGTGGTACTGGAGCAGAGGGTGGTACTGGAGCAGAGGGTGGTACTGGAGCAGAGGGTGGTACTGGAGCAGAGGGTGGTACTGGAGCAGAGGGTGGTACTGGAGCAGAGGGTGGTACTGGAGCAGAGGGTGGTACTGGAGCAGAGGGTGGTACTGGAGCAGAGGGTGGTACTGGAGCAGAGGGTGGTACTGGAGCAGAGGGTGGTACTGGAGCAGAGGGTGGTACTGGAGCAGAGGGTGGTACTGGAGCAGAGGGTGGTACTGGAGCAGAGGGTGGTACTGGAGCAGAGGGTGGTACTGGAGCAGAGGGTGGTACTGGAGCAGAGGGTGGTACTGGAGCAGAGGGTGGTACTGGAGCAGAGGGTGGTACTGGAGCAGAGGGTGGTACTGGAGCAGAGGGTGGTACTGGAGCAGAGGGTGGTACTGGAGCAGAGGGTGGTACTGGAGCAGAGGGTGGTACTGGAGCAGAGGGTGGTACTGGAGCAGAGGGTGGTACTGGAGCAGAGGGTGGTACTGGAGCAGAGGGTGGTACTGGAGCAGAGGGTGGTACTGGAGCAGAGGGTGGTACTGGAGCAGAGGGTGGTACTGGAGCAGAGGGTGGTACTGGAGCAGAGGGTGGTACTGGAGCAGAGGGTGGTACTGGAGCAGAGGGTGGTACTGGAGCAGAGGGTGGTACTGGAGCAGAGGGTGGTACTGGAGCAGAGGGTGGTACTGGAGCAGAGGGTGGTACTGGAGCAGAGGGTGGTACTGGAGCAGAGGGTGGTACTGGAGCAGAGGGTGGTACTGGAGCAGAGGGTGGTACTGGAGCAGAGGGTGGTACTGGAGCAGAGGGTGGTACTGGAGCAGAGGGTGGTACTGGAGCAGAGGGTGGTACTGGAGCAGAGGGTGGTACTGGAGCAGAGGGTGGTACTGGAGCAGAGGGTGGTACTGGAGCAGAGGGTGGTACTGGAGCAGAGGGTGGTACTGGAGCAGAGGGTGGTACTGGAGCAGAGGGTGGTACTGGAGCAGAGGGTGGTACTGGAGCAGAGGGTGGTACTGGAGCAGAGGGTGGTACTGGAGCAGAGGGTGGTACTGGAGCAGAGGGTGGTACTGGAGCAGAGGGTGGTACTGGAGCAGAGGGTGGTACTGGAGCAGAGGGTGGTACTGGAGCAGAGGGTGGTACTGGAGCAGAGGGTGGTACTGGAGCAGAGGGTGGTACTGGAGCAGAGGGTGGTACTGGAGCAGAGGGTGGTACTGGAGCAGAGGGTGGTACTGGAGCAGAGGGTGGTACTGGAGCAGAGGGTGGTACTGGAGCAGAGGGTGGTACTGGAGCAGAGGGTGGTACTGGAGCAGAGGGTGGTACTGGAGCAGAGGGTGGTACTGGAGCAGAGGGTGGTACTGGAGCAGAGGGTGGTACTGGAGCAGAGGGTGGTACTGGAGCAGAGGGTGGTACTGGAGCAGAGGGTGGTACTGGAGCAGAGGGTGGTACTGGAGCAGAGGGTGGTACTGGAGCAGAGGGTGGTACTGGAGCAGAGGGTGGTACTGGAGCAGAGGGTGGTACTGGAGCAGAGGGTGGTACTGGAGCAGAGGGTGGTACTGGAGCAGAGGGTGGTACTGGAGCAGAGGGTGGTACTGGAGCAGAGGGTGGTACTGGAGCAGAGGGTGGTACTGGAGCAGAGGGTGGTACTGGAGCAGAGGGTGGTACTGGAGCAGAGGGTGGTACTGGAGCAAAGCAGTGGAGGAAGGACAGGACAGGTCGCAGGAGGACAGGGCTCCTGCCTGCAGCATTCCTGGCTGCAGTGGATATGGGTGACGTGACGGGGTCTTCACGAGTTTCCTCGTAAGGAAGGGAGTTCACACCGTATCATTGCAGCTCTCTGTGTCTACACCCATGCTTGAAGGGCAAAGTAGGTTGTATGAGGACACTGGCATTTCATGATTACCCCTTTAGTATGGTAATTTATCAATAACGTTGCATTATGAGGCAACCATTACCGCAAATGATATCCGGGCGCTGCAGTCAGTACAATAGCTGGTAAACTTCAGTACAACACAAGCATGTTCACATCGTAATCGTATATCAATATCATGTTACACCTTCTGCACATATAGCACAACCACCTGTGAAGTCAACTGAGCGAGTATGTGGGCCTTCTGCGGCAATACACTGCAACCGTGTCAATGGGCGTGTGTGACACCAGAACATCTTCACCTGTCTGCACAGAACTGCACCTCCCCAAACCTTTGTACCCCTGCAACTTCACCATGCACCCTTGCCCTTCATCAGCCATGCAACAGCAGGCATGCCTTCGGGCAGCTGCCGTGCAGTGGCGTGTGGGCATCAGCACACGTGTGCATTCACGCGAGCACGGTACATCTCCAGCACCTCCTCATTCTGTGTCCCATCTGTCTCCACCACAGCGGACGCCAGCAGCTTGTTGCTCCCCGCGGGCACAAAGAAGATGTCCCCCACGTGCACGCCCTGCACGTATGACGGCGCCGCAGCCACCGCTGCCGCGCACCCGTGCACCTTGGTCAGCCCGTTGGCCGGGGCCACCGAGATGGCTCCAGATCCGCGGAACACCAGCAGAATGGACGGCCCTGATATCTCTGGCAGGGCTGCTGTCTGCCCGAGGGGCACTGTGATCTTTTCGACCTCAAACTCCTCGAAGGGTGGCGTGTAGAGTGTGACGTGCGGGGTGACGCGGTCACCGTTGAGCAGCTGGGGGCGGCCCTGGTTGTAGGTGAGCATGGAGGTGAGCGTGTCCGTGTCGCGGTACTTGGGTGTGAGGCCCGCTCGCACCACGTTGTCAGACGCCGCCATGCACTCGATGCACTCACCCGCCAGGTACGCGTGCGGCTCGTTGGCCGCCAGGCAGATGGCCTGGCCGGGCAGCAGAGTGACGTGGTTGAGGAAGAAGGCGGAGAGCACGCCCACGTCGCCCGGGTACTGATGCTCCAGCCGCTGCACCAGCTGCTCCTTGTCCGACAACTCGCGCTCCTGCATGCACCCATGGGCGGCCACGGTGGTCAGACACATACAGTGCTTGGTGCATGTGTGGGTGGTGGGACGGGTGGAGTACATGCTGCATAGCTCTGGGACCAGTCATCAAACAGGAGATGCCATTCCTAGTCGCATGACATGGCATGACATGGCATGACATGGCATGGATTACAAGCAAAGGTTATATGCGAATCCTGGATGCAGCGGTGACCATGGAGGCATGACATAGACACTCTAGGGTCGATGATTGCTGTCGATGATGTGACGTGGCATGGATCACAAGCAAAGGGCACATGCGAATCCAAGAACTTTCCGACTACACACCCTCCCTGTTGATACAACCACGTCATGACGCCATCGCGCAGTCGCGCCAAAGCACGCACCTTGGATTCGGCCTGCAGCCGCGCCACGAGGCTCGAGAGGTGCTTCTCAATCACGGCGCCGTCTTGCGTCATCAGCGCTCTGAACGCGTCCTTGAACGCCCTTCGCTCCGCACACTCCTGCGCTTCATGAGCGCCGTTGACGCCGTTGACGCCGTTGACTCCGTTCTTGCTGGCTCTCAACACGCTGTCCGCCGTGTGTTCGCCAATGGCCATGCGTAGTTCCGGCACCGACTGAATGCTTTCGCGGAGTTCCTGCGACTCACAACAGCGAGGCCGTGATCGATTAGGCCAGGCTACAAGATTGAAGACAAACATGGTCGCGAAACGAAGTGCTGCACAACGCAACCTCACATAACAACCACGCGCACTCGCATACTTGCCACGCCCACGGAACTCGCATACTTACCACGCGCACGGACCTCGCATACTTACCACGCGCACCGATCTCGCATACTACACGTGCATCGACCTGACATACTAGCCACGCGCATCGACCTCGCATACTAGCCACGCGCACCGACCTCACATACTAGCCACGCGCTCCGACCTCGCATACTAGCCACGCGCACCGACCGTAGCCACGTGCACCGACCTCGCGTACTTGCCACGCGCACCCACCTCGCGTACTTGCCACGCGCACCGGCCTCGCATACTAGCCACGCGCACCGACCTCGCATACTAGCCACGCGCACCGACCTCGCATACTAGCCACGCGCACCGACCTCGCATACTAGCCACGCGCACCGACCTCGCATACTAGTCACGCGCACCGACCTCGCATAATAGCCACGCGCACCGACCTCGCAAACCCACTTCTCATATTGACCTCCCCTCCATCCTCCCCTCATGCCCTTCCAACGCACCCTTCCCTCGCGCCCTTACACGACCCTCACCCGCGAGGTGACGAAGCCGCAGAGCGCCTCGAAGTTGGTGACGGCGAGCGCCATCTCGGGCTTGTGGTTGGCATCCTTGTAGTTCTTCGGCTGCGTCGCGTGGAGCCGCTCCGCCAGCCGCTTGTCCGGATGCGCCTGGATCGACAGCGCCTTCGCCACGCTCAGTACCTGCCGGGAAAGCACGATGACACATCAGCATGCACTCTGTTGCTGTAGCGTACTGCGGTGAGGCATATTGAGTATTGATTGATGGGCAAGAGATGTTTCTCAAAGTGCATGATGCAGTCTGCCTTAATAAAGAAGGTTACCTAACGAGTAATATTGCGGCAACATATTAGGGAGAGGCGGAAAGATAGAATGGCAGCCGCCAGCTTCCACGCGACAATTTTAGGGTTTCAACGATCACATCCTGAGCACGCATAGTAGGGCACAAACCCGATTCACACATCATGCAGCAACGTACCTTGAAGAGGAACGGCAGCTGGCCGGGCCACTTGTGCTGCACCGTGGCGCCCAGAGCCTCGGGGTGCGCGTCCAGCCACTCCTGCAGCAGCTGCGGCTCGCCCGCTGCGACGTCGGCCTTGACGAGAGCGGGGCACGAGGCATCGACCTCATCCGGTTGCGCGGACGGCAGCACAAGCGACGGCCCGCTGGGGTGAGTGCCCATCCAGAGCTCGGCGTACGGCACGTCGTCCTTAGCCGCCTCTGCGCTGCCGCTCGTGCCCAGCGCGTAAAGCCGACCCACCGTGCTCCCACTGCCCTTGATGCCCCAATCATACGTCTGCGCCACGCAGCGCATTCGAAGAATCGGCGGGTAGCTGCCAGCCATTGCCTTGGTAGTTGATCTGGTGGAGGATTACGAAGTATGTGCTGGGGAAGACAGGAGCGACTGAACTCCGGAGCAAAAATATCGAGAGCCTGACAAGACGGATTAACGGTGTGACAATATGTACAAAGGTACAAGGTGCGTCTCGCGACAATCCCTAAAACGCCTAAAACGATGTGGAAGCTCAAGGATAACTGAACCAAGGATCCATGAAATCGTCCTGGGAGTTACTGGAAGCCAGACTGGAAGCGGGGATCGCGCGCGCCAAGGTTGGGGGAGGGAGTGAAGAGGAGTGGGGGAGAACTTCACTGCTGGCGCAGAGGGATGGACGGAGTTCGTGAATGCGGGAGAAGGGGAAACGGGGAGTGCGCGGAGGGGAACAGCGCCCAACGGGACAGAAGCGTGGGCAGGAGGGGATGTCGTTTCGCACCACAAAGTGGTGTGCGCATCTGCGGGCAGTCGCATGCATCTCAGGTGGAAGAGGATCTCGAAGGGGTCAACGACACGACCACACAGAGGTCTGGGAAGCCGTGGCGAAGAGCATGCCTGGAGAATACTGGCCATTTGCGGCATCCCACGTGGAATAAGTCACTGCCTGTGCCTGCGGAGCGGTGGGTCAGTGGAGAGAACGGTAGGACCTGGCACCTGCGGCTCGGAAACTCCCACACAGTTCTCGTGGGAACATCTGGAGTTGCAGATGCCCACCAACTCCGAAAACGTTGGCGCGGAAGGCGTTATCCGTTGGAAGCAGAAAGCTTACACATTACAACACACTACACTTCTGCACTAGGTATACAATAGCTGCAATTCACAATCTCAACATTTTGCACATACATCCCTTCATGCATAGTTGCATACTAAAAAACTAGGGGCACTTCATAGTTGAAATCACAAAATCGGATTTACATACGTTGTCTTTTATTTCTAGGACCAACTTCAGAGCTAGAACACAATCTATTGGAGCTTGTTGAAGAGCATTTCCACCCATGCATCTGTAACTCCTCCTTCGCACCAATGAAGGCAGTCGTTCTTCTTTGTATCTGGTGCTCCCCCTGTGGCAAAACAGGGAGATTAGACTGGTCACAAAGTGTGTCCCACATATTTTTCTGTACTGGTAATAGGACATCAAACCAGCACTGTGTTCATAATCATCTTGCCAGTCCAAAGACATATTGCTTTTGAAGTTGAACTCACCTTTGACGCTCCAGTTTTGGATGTGTCCATCGGGCCGCCAGTCGCTCATGGGCTTCACATCCATGTACACCACCGACGACCCCCCGAGAACACGCTGCTGGATGGCCCGCAGATCACTAGAGGAGCCGTCTCCACTGCGCAAGGTGGCTGTCTGAGGAGGCAGGTTGGCATGGAGGCAAGGGGCGAGACGTTAGGAATGGAGGTCTGACACGGAGCCCCTTCATTGTAAAATAAAAGAAAGGTGGTTGTCATACCTCTCCTCTTCCCTCATTTTTGGTCTTCTCTCCCACAGGTGCTCCCCCCTCCCCTGCACTTCCACCTCGCTCTCTCCCCTCCCACTGTGCTTCTCCCTGCCGCCCGCGCTTCCCCCTCCAGCCCGCGCTTCACCCTCCCACCTGTGCTTCCCCCTCCCACCCGCGCTTCCCTCTCCCACCCGTGCTTCCCCCTCCCACCCGCGCTTCCCCTTCCCATCCGCGCTTCCCCTTCCCATCCGTACTTCCCCTTCCCACCCGCGCTTCCCTTTCCCACCCGAGCTTCCCCCTCCCACCCGCACTTCCCCTTCCCATCCGTACTTTCCCCCTCCCACCCGCGCTTCCCTTTCCCACCCGCGCTTCCCCCTCCCATCTGCTCTCCCCCCTCCCACCTGCGCTCCCCTTCCAACCTGCGTCCACGTACCTGCGCGCTGGTGAGCATGGAGTTGACTTTGCACGACCCCTTCTTGACGCCCGCCACGGGCAAGTCGTAGTGCGACGGCGACACGCCCATCACCACGGCGCGCCCCTTGAACCCGCCGCCGCTGCCCGCCACGTAGTCCCGCAGAGTCGTCAGTCCGCGCTCGTACGCCGCCGTCGCCTTCATCGTCGCCTCCTTACCGCCCACGTACCACCGGTTGATGGGCGGCATCCACCACGCCGTCGCCTGCGCCACACACCACGGAGAGAAATGGATTATGGAAACCCGAAGTGGGCTCGCTGTAAGCTCTCATTCCTACGCGGAGCTTGCGGGATGACGCGACGGCAGGCGCGGATGCGAGGAAAGGCGCGGATGCGAGGAAAGGCGCGGATGCGAGGAAAAGCGCGGATGCGAGGCAGGGCGAAGATGCGAGGAAAGGAGTAGATGCGAGGCAGTGCGAAGATGCGACGAAAGGCGCGGATGCGAGGCAGGGCGAAGATGCGAGGAAAGAGCGGATGCGAGGCAGGGCGAAGGTGCGAGGAAAGGAGCGGATACGAGGCAAAGCAAAGATGCGAGGAAAGGAGCGGATGCGAGGCAGGGCGCGGGAGCGAGGCAGGGCGCGGAAGCAAGGCAGGGCGCGGATACGAGGGTGGGCGCGAAAGCGAGTCGGAGCGCAAGCTGACCTGGAAGATGACGATGTCAGCGATGGGCAGCAAGTCCTTGATGCGCTGATCCAGGCCGTCCAGGTCGATGCGGTGCTGCTCGATGCCGTTCTTGTCGGGCAGGCTGGTGGCGTTGTTGAGCCAGTTGGAGAACACGGACACGAACCGGATCTTGTACGTCGGGAACTGCGCACTCACGCCGGGCCGCACGCCGCACCACAGAGAGATGGAGATGGCGGACGGATGCCGGACTAAGATGGTTAGGTGACGGGTGATGCAACGCAACGTGGGAGATGCAACGCAACGTGAGGCGCATGCATATGCGTTGTGTTTTAGGGGTACGGCGCCTCAACGTCTGCCGCACGTACCTCGACGCCCCATTCGGCGGTTTTCTTCTGCGCCAGGCGGTACGACCTAGCGGCGGTAGAGTCGGCGGCGTGCAGCATGCACTGCAGCGACGCGGCGAAGTTCTTGGAGAGCGAGTCGCCGAACACCAGCACCAGCTTGCCGCGAAACATCTCCGCCAAACTATGCGGCGACACGCGCTTCACAGAGCATCCCCTGGGCTGTAGGGGGGGCAAGGAAGCACATCGGGTGGGCGAGTAGAGCGAGCACGAGCGTGCGCGGAGTGGTGAGGAATACCAAGATCGATACACTCACTGATCGACGGACGCACCTGCCAGCGGAACTTCTGGAACGACATGTCCGGGCGGCCCTGCTTGAGGCAGTTCTGCGATGTGCGGATGTATGGACACGAGTTGCCTGTGTAGAGCGGTAACTTGCTGTCCGCTACCCACTTGCCCCGCGAGATGTCGCAACTCCATGATGACTGCGCCGCGCACTTCAAGAGGCAGGTTAAAAAGACTACCACGAAAATTGGGGAATCGAATCTATGTCTCTCTCCCATCACGTTGGCTTCGTTAGGGGTTCCCTGCCCTGTTCACTAGTAGCTTGATTCACGAGTTCTGGAGTCCAGCTTCTCAATTCCTGTTCCTAAGCCTCTTCTGCATTTTATCTGTCACAGCCTCACCTCATTTACACCATTTGACGAACCGCATGTGATGGCGGCCCGAGCTTTCTCATTTCCAGCACAAGACAGCCTTCCCCTTTGTGTCATGGTCATGGACCGCCCAGCATCACAACACAATGCTTGCACGGACTGGTTCCATTCAGCAGACGCAAATCGGCGGGAGGCAAAAGTTCCAGCGTTCCCGCGCAAACGGCAAACTGAAAACGGTGCGCCCAAGAACAACTTGGAGCAGCACACAACAGCTACAAAAACCACTCACTAAACTTATCAAGTATAAAGATGTATGAGAATTTAGATAAAGAACTAAATCGCCTAAGCCAGAAGAAGAAAGGATTAACATCCAATAATGAGCAGGACCACACACACTAAGGACAAATGCAAAGGCTTAAAATGAATGTTGAAGATGTGTCATGAAAAGCTTCAAGCATACGGAAGATAAACGTTCTTCGAGCACGAATCACGATGCAACGATAACATGCCAAAGTTGAATTGAAAATGTTACGAATCGTAAATTAGCTGCGCTGCCCCGTGCTGGTGTCGCTTCACATAGAAGCCCCGTGCCCTCCTACCAGAAGTAGTACAGGGGTGGGAGAAGGGGGGAAAGAGAGGGGTGACGTGAGGGAGGTGGACTGAGGGCATGGAGCGAGGAGGTGGGCGGCCATGCATGGCTGCTTTTGAGACGTCTCAAAATAACACTTTTATCACGGAGGAAGTGGACAGAGGGCCATAGAGGGAGGAGGTGGCCAGCCATGTGTGTGCTGCTGCGCTGCCCCGTGCTGGTGCCGCTTCAACCCTCCCACGCCCTTGCTGGTTTGGTAATAGGCCCAGACGAGCGCAGCCACGTGATCCGACAATAGAAAAACACTCGAAACGAGCGCTTCCAGCCCCAAAACGCGGAAGGATCCGCACATGTGCAGGAAATGCAGCGGACGCTCTTCATTCGCGAGGACCGATGACCGATGATGCTCGCCATGATAGAATCTACTCTAGACTAGGTGACTAGAGTAGAGAGAACAAGTTGGTCGATTAGGTTGGGGGGGGGGGGTACATGAACAATGTCGAGGGATTTTGTGTACCCCCTAAGGCTTAACCCACTAGAGTCTTGAGAAAGATAAACATATAATGTTTGACACACCCCCATAGACGAAGTGGGGGATAGTCTTAGAGTATAGGCATGAGTGAAAATTGACTATCGAGAGGATGGTACAAAGGAGAAACCTAAGGGGTTGTACCCCACAGTGAGTATCCCACTAAGCCTATCCAAACTATAACATATATACATATGTGTTTGACACACCCCCATAGGCAAAGTGGGGGAGAACAGAGGGTCACAAGACCAGTCAGGAAATGCAAAGCAAGCTCAGGGTGGATCACAACGTCACCACGCAGTCTGAGGACAAGCAAAAAGGCCACAAGGCCAGTTCACATGCAGAGATATATATGTAACAACAACAGCACAGTGATCTCTACCTACCAGAGCAAGCATGCAGGTATACATATAGATCACAGTACAAACAAAGCCTACAGCAAGTGAGGAAGCGTGGGTACAAGGCCTAACAAAGTACAGAAACGCTGATGATCACAAGGCGGAAGTGCCTTGGTGAATATATCAGCAGTGTTGGCCCGAGTGGCCACGTGAGCAAGACGAAGCTGGCCACGCTGCTGCAACTCTCGAGCAAGGAAGTAACGGAGAGCGATGTGCTTCGTTCTGTGCTCCAGTCTGTGCTCCTGACACAAGGCAATGGCGGCCTTGTTGTCGACGTACAGCACTGGAGGAGAACGAGGCTGCTCTCCCAAGTCGGTCAGCAGGTAGGTGAGCCAGCGTAGGCGAGGTCTCCGGCAAGGAGACACGTGGCCAAAGGTTGAGCTGATGCGCGGCGTACCGGACCGCAAACGGCCACAGAAAATGGGGGGCAGCCGCATGGATCATGGAGGTATGAGCGACCTCCATGACTAAGCCAATGCGGCGCTCAGCAACCCCATTTTGCTGCGGAGAGGCCGGAAGCGTGAAAGTCTGGCGGATGTTGTGCTCCGCACAGAAGGCTGCCAAGAGGTCTGAGGAGAACTCACCACCTCTGTCAGAGTGCAGACGCAGGACAGGAAAGTCCGACTGGAACCGCGCTCGCGGAGCTGGAGACGAGTAGCGCGGATCCAGGGGATCAAAACATCAGGGACATCCCCCTTGCGCTGCAAGGGGAAGATCGTGGTGTAGCGCGTGTAGTCGTCGACAACCAGCAGGAAGTACCGCTCGTGGCCCTGTCCACGGACGCGGGCTGGGCCCCACACGTCCAGGTCGAGAGTCTGCAGTGGAGCCTCTGTGGGAGGGAACGAGGAGGAGTGAGGAGCGGCGCATTGCCGCCCCTCGACGCAAGGAATGCAGGGCGGCGCAGGCAGAGACCTGGGAAGACCAGAGACCAGAAAGCGAGAGTGCATGCTACGAAGGCGAGGCAGGGAGGGGTGACCAAGGCGGTGGTGCCACAGGAGAGTGTCGTGAGACAGCCGGCGACACTCACACTGAGTAGCTACCTGAGCAGACGCGTGCAGCTGGGGAGACAAAGGGGTGGAGCGCGACGCAGTAGTGAGGGTGTACAGACTGGACCCTGGCGCACGGGTGAACGTGGCCAGGTGGCGGCCGGTCTGGGAGCACGTGCAGATCGCCACACGCTGCCAGCCAGGGGTGAAGGTGTCAACACCCGCATCCTGGAGGACAGCGTTGCTCACCAAGTTCGTAGAGAACGAGGGGAGGTGGAGACCAGACAGCTCACCAGACGGGACCGCCGGACACGGAAGCACAGTGGAAGACCGTGCAAGCACTGGGCCCCCAGAGGGGTCAGCCAGTGAGACAAGAACAGGTGCAGGGAGGGGAGTGACTGTGGTACTGTCGCGAAAGAAACAGCGCGAAGCACCAGAGTCAAGTGTAAAGGTGTGCAAGGCCTGTGCAGGCGCAGTACCAGGGGGAGCAGACTCACAAGCACCTAGTGCTGCAGGGGCTATACCAGGGGCTATACCAGGATCCGGCGGCACACACAAGTGTTGGTGCAACCCTACGGTTTGCACTCGGCTTGTTGTCCGTGTGCGTGAATGTGTGTGTGTATGGAATGGTATGAGGGCATGGGATAATATATATTTCATGCTTATAATTGTGTGTGAATGTTGAGTCATGATGTCGAGTGTGTGTGTCGAGTCAATAGCGAGTTATCGCTAGACGCGTGTTACGCGGTCGTTTGTGTCTCGCGCGCGGTTTCTATTTTGTCGTGCGCGGTTTCTATTTTGTCCTGTGTCGAACGTTCGGCGTGTCGCAGGTGTGTGCCGCAGACCCATCAAGAACTCAAGGATGAGTTTGTGATGAAGAGCCCGAGCCTTGGTGTCAAGCCTCAAGTGATTTCGAAGCTCGCCAAAAAGGGTACACCTCAAGATATTGAAGATATTTACATTACTTTGTGTAGTGTAACATTTCACTTGGTGTAGGCCCTAGTGAAGGGTAGTTTCGAGACCCTTCGTGGTTGGGGACAATGTGGCACTGTTCCACATCACTGTACCTCGGCTCTTGGGGTTTGTAGGAGCTGGGAGTCATTCCCAACTCGTAACTCTTCCTATCTTGTGTTCTAAGACTATAGTGGCTGCCATAGTACCGTTCGTTCAAACCGACGCTGTGTCGTCAATTCTTTATCAAATCGTGCAATCTAAATTGCTAATTGTAGACGACGTGAAGAAGCTCCAGATCCAATTTGAATCAGGTCATTTGCAGCTGTGAGCCGAATGCTATCAACGTTTGAAGCCGCTGTGCAGAAATCCGTCTGTGCTCTCTATCTTTCGTTTTAGGCACATTCAAGCCTATTGTGACTATAACAACAAGTAGCAGTCACCCTCAGCACTAACAGTCAATGCATACATGGCAGCAAGAATAGCCTCATAGTCAAGATCAAAGATAGGTACATCACGCCTAAGCAGCTCTGCCCAGTTGGGGAACTCAGGAGCATCAGGAAACTTGACGCGCCAGGCGTCGCTAAGCCGAGCGAAGCAGCGCTGCTCAGTGTGAAACTCTGTGCACTGGCGACCAGCGCGGGGACCTGTGCGAATGAGATAGGGGCAGCGACCAGGACCCCCAGAAGCCCCACGCCCGGCATACCAGTCAAGAAGCTGCTGGGAAGTGGGGGTCTGGCGCGGACGCTGCTGCTGCTGTTGCTGCTGCTGCGGCTGCTGCTGCTGCTGCTGCCCCTGACCACCACTGCCACTACCGCTCCCTCCTCCCCCACCACCGCCGCTGCCACCTCCACTGCTCCCAGTGCCTCCGCCGCCCCCAAAACCACCTCCATCACCTCCACCCCCACGACCACCCCCACCACCTCCACCTCCCCCGCCGCCTGCACCACCGCCCCCTCCACCGCCACCCCCACCGCCCCCTCCACCGCCACCCCCACCGCCACCCCCACCTCCCCTGCCACCCTTGCCGCCCCTGCCGCTGCGGCGCTTCCCACTAGGAGCGGAAGCAGCCCCGACCTCCTCAGCACCAAGGTAGTCGAGAGCAGCAGCTGC